GCGGTGCTGCAGGGGTTCTTGGGGAGAAAAAGTACAAAATGGAGTCACTGAGGACAAAGATTTGGCCTAGACCTTAGCCAAAAGTTTCGGTCATATTAAGACCCTTCGTTTTTTGGTTTTATTTATTTTTGTTTAGGTACAGGCAGTTTATTGGTGGTTCAAACCCACCAGCCACTCTGCAGAAGGAAGACTGGCAGTAAGACTACTTCCTTCAAGATTTGCCTTGGAAACCCAAAGGGGGTCGCTATGAGTCTGAATCTACTGGATCTGCCATCCAGAGTTTGAGTTTGTTTTGTTTTAGGCAGTTTATTAAGGAGGGGATCCAAGGAACAGAAATAAGAAGAGACTGAGAGACAGGGAAGAGAGAAAAACTAAGATAGGAACATCAACAATGCTGATATAATAAGATTTTTTTTTAAATTGATTTGGGTGAAAGTTTACAGAGCAAATTAGTTTTTCATTCAAGAGCATTAATTGCAGTCCCCATGATGTAACAGTTCTCTTCCCACTTCCTCCCTGTGTCCTTTCCTGCCCTCTGAGCTATCATCTATTGGTTGTTCTAAGGAGTGTACCTACCAGATGTAATTGGTCACCTTCTATCTGTTGCTTGTCTGAAAGCCACAAGAGTGAGTTCAATTCCAGGCCTGAAGGGTGACTAGGGGCCACAGTCTCTATCAGAACAGTAAGCCTGGTCTTTTTTATGATTTTGAGTTTTGTTCCACATTTCTCTCCCACTCTGTCCAAAAACAAACAAAAAAACCTCACTGCCACTGAGTCAATTCTGACTCATAGTTGACCCGCATTAGAAATCATCAAAGTCTGTTCCTTCACTTTAAAGCATTTCACAAAAGAGGATATTCAAAAGGCCAATAAACATATTTAAAGGTGCTCAAAAATAGTATCTCATCAAAGATATACAAATTAAAACCACAAAGAATTACCCTACACATTCTACACATTCAGTAGAATGGCTAAAACTTTTCAAATTGTCATTATCAACTGTCACTGAGGATGTAGAGTAACTGGAACTCTCATATTATTATTTGGCAGTTATACAGTCAAATACACATGTGTTGTATCGCAGAGCTGAAAAGGGAAAAGGTTGTAGTCACTTCTTGGTCATCA